ATTGAGGTCAGGAGTTTGAGTTTAGCCGGGTCAACACAGTGAAACCCTGTATCTACTGAAAACACACACAAAATTAGCCAGGTGTTGTGGTGCATATCTGTAACCTCAGCTATTCGGGAGGCTGAGGCAGGAGAATCGTTCGAACCCAGGAAGCCGAAGTTGTGGTGAGCTGAGATCTCGCCACTGCGCTCCAGTCTGGGCAAGAGAGTGAGACTCCATCCAAACAAAAAAAAAAAAAAAAAAAATGAAGCTTTCAGTGCTGGAGAAGAGATGGGAAATGAATATTTCCCTAAATTGCTGCTGTGAGTGTGAATTATTACAATGCTTGCAGAAAGCAATATGGCAATATGTATTAAAAGTTTGTCCCAGAGCAGGTTGGCCACCGTGGCTCATGTCTGTAATCTCAACACTTTGGGAGGCCAAGGTAGGCAGATCAGGAGGTAAAAAGATCGAGACCATTCAGGTCAACATGGTGAAACCTCATCTCTACTAAAAATACAAAAATTAGCTGGGTGTGGTGGTGCACGCCTGTAGTCTCAGCTACTTGGGAGGATGAGGCACAAGAATTGCTTGAACCTGGGAGGCAGAGGTTGCAGTGAGCCGAAACTGCACCACTGCACTCCAGCCTGGGTGACGGAGTAAGACTGTGTCTCAAAAAAAAAGCAAAATTTCAACAAATTTAATTTAAAGGTCTAATCTATTAGTGATTCATGAATCAGGCAGCTGCTCATGTATGCAACAGAAAAGGTGCTCCCATGGGCTGAGCAGAGGAGGTGGGCTTTAGAGGGAGGAAAAAACAGATGAAGGAGAAACAGGGGATGGGGGAGCGAACTGGTTGTTTCAAAGTCACTTTCAGGCTGGACACGGTGGCTCATGCCTGTAATCCCAGCACTTTGGGAGGCTGAGGCGGGTGGATCACCTGAGGTCAGGAGTTCCAGACCAGCCTGGCCAACATGGCGAAAACTTGTGTCTACTAAAAATACAAAAATTATCTGGGTGCAGTGGAGGGCGCCTGTAATCCTAGCTACTCGGGAGGCTGAGGCAGGAGAATCGTTGAACCTGTGAGGCAGAGGCTGCCATGAGCCGAGGTCCTACCATGGCACTCCAGCCTGGGCAACAGAGCAAGACTCTGTCTCAAAAAAAAGAAAAAAAGCTAGGCCCAATAATTCCACTTTGGATATTAAAAACTCACGGGCTGGGTGCTTTGGCTCATGCTTGTAATCCCACCACTTTAAGAGGCCAAAGCGAGCCAATCATGTGAGCTCAAGAGTTGGAGACTGGCCTGACCAATATAGTAAAACCTCATCTCTAGTAAAAATACAAAAATTAGCAGGCCGTGGTGATGTATGCCTGAAGTCCCAGTTATTTGGGAGGTGAGATGGGAGACTCACTGGAACCTGGGAGGCGAAGGTTGCAGTGAGCTGAGATCATGCCACGGTACTTCAGCCTGGACAACAGAGCAAGACTCCATCTCAACAAAAAGCAAAAAACAACACTCATTATGTTGGCCAGGCAAGGTGCCTCATTTGGCTATAATCCCAGCACTTTGGGAGGCCATGGAGGGCAGATCACTTGAGATTAGGAGTTCGAGACCAGCCTGGCCAACATGGTGAAACCCTATCTCTACTAAACATACAAAAATTAGCCGAGTGTGGTGGCACATGCCTATAATCCCAGCTACTCAGGAGGCTAAGGCAGGAGAATCAATTGAACCCATGAGGTGGAGGTTGCAGTGAGCCAAGATCTTGCCACTGCACTCCAGCCTGGGTGACAGAAGGAGACTCCATGTCAAAAAAAGCAAAACAAAACTCATTATGTAGAGATATATTATAAGGTTGTTTTTGTTTGTTTGTTTTTTGCCTAACTCCAACTGTCTTGATTGAGTTATATGGTTTTTTAAAATTGTTTTGTTTTGGTTTTTTGAGACAGTTTTGCTCTTGTTACCCAGGCTGGGGTGCAATGGCACAATCTCGGCTCACCGCAACTTCTGCCTCCCAGGTTCAAGCAATTCTCCAGCCTCAGCCTTCCGAGTAGCTGGGATTACAGGCATGCGCCATCATGCCCAGCTAATTTTGTATTTTTAGTAGAGACAGGGTTTCTCCATGTCGGTCAAGCTGGTCTCAAACTACCGACCTCAGCTAATCCGCCCGCTTCAGCCTCCCGAAGTGCTGGGATTACAGAAGCGAGCCAAGGTGCCCAGCCACAAGGTATTTTATCAAAGTATTGGTTCTAGTGGTAAAAACTTCAAAGTAATAATCACTATTATCCAACTGTATGGGTACAGATAAATAAATTATGCTTATACACAAATAACAAAGCATTAAGCACCTATTCAAATGAGTAACTTGGATCTCTATCAGTTGGTCTAAAGATAGCCAATGCACCGTTTTGTGTTGTTTTGTAGTTTGAGACAGAGTTTTGCTCTTGTTGCCCAGGCAGGAGTGCAATGGCATGATCTCAGCTCACCACAATCTCTGCCTCCCGGGTTCAAGCAATCGTCCTGCCTCAGCCTCCCTAGTAGCTGGGCTTACAGGCATAGGCCACCGTGCCCAGCTAATTTTTTATTTTCAGTAGAGACGAGGTTTCACCATGTTAGCCAGGCTGGTCTTGAACTCCTGACTTTGTGATCCGCCCGCCTCAGCCTATCAAAATGCTGGGATTACAGGTGAGAGCCACCGTGCCCGGCCCATACATCCTTTTTGTAAAGGCAGATTAGCAACACTTAGAAAGATACATATTGGGGTCCGGGCATGGTAGCTCATGCCTGTAATCTCAGCACTTTGGGAGGCCGAGGTGGGCGGATCACCTAAGGTCAGGAGTTCAAGACAAGCCTGGCCAGCATGGTGAAACCCCATCTCTACCAAAAAATACAAAAATTAGCCAGGCTGGTGGCGGGTGCCTGTAATTCCAGCTACTCAGGCTGAGGCAGAAGAATCGCTGGAACCTGGGAGGTGGTGAGCTGAGACCACATTTCTGCACTCTGGCCTGGGAGACACAGCAAGACTCCATCTCAAGAAAGAGAGAGAGACAGAGAGGAAGGAAGGAAGGAGGGAGTCTGGGAGGGAGGGAAGGAAGGAAGGAAGGAAGGAAGATATTTATTTGGTTCCAATAGTTAAAACAACCTCATACAACTATAATAATAAAAACATTTCAAAAAAATGTATAAAGGCCACCCATGGAAGAGTGATCTAGACATTTCTTGAGAAGAAAGGAGTTTCTGGAGGTTTCTTAGCCACCACGAACCTAGATGGATAAATGAGAATGGAAAGAACCTGATGATTGGGACTAGGCTAGTGACAGACAAGTGAAACTGCCAAGAAGAGACAACGGCTTTGCTTGTAGTTTCCAAAGGCACTGCCACCTCCAACAGGAAATGAGGCTTGCTTACACCAAAGGTGAAGCCTATCACATAATAGTAGAATTACATGAGATTTTGCAGATTGTTCTACTCCATTGTGAGACAACAGAAGCATCGCCCCAGTGTAAACCTTGGTAGCTGCCTAGAGCAGATATTAAAAACATCCACTCTGGAATAATTTAAAAGTCAGGCTCAGAAACACAAGGAAAAATGCTTAACATAACAAATGAAATGAAAAACAAACAAACAACAAACAAAAACAAAACTTAGCCCACCACAAAAAAAAAAGCTGATTTAGCCTAGGAATCATGCCTGTAATCCCAACACTTTGGGAGGCTGAGGCAGGTGGATCACCTGAGATCAGGAGTTTGAGGCCAGCCTGGCCAACATGGTGAAACTCTATCTATATTAAAACTCCAAAACAAAATTAGCTGGACGTGGCGGTGGGCACCGGTAATGCCACTTACTCGGGAAGCTAACACACGAGAATTACTTGAACCTGGGAAGCAGAAGTAACAGTGAGCTGAGATCGCCGCAATGCACTCCAGCCTGGGCGACTGAGGGAGGCTCCCTCTGAAAAACAAAAAAGTAAAAAGCTGATTTAAGATTTTATTTTACTAAAGAAACAAAAGAAATAAGCATAGTACCCAAGAGTCATTAGAACACTAAATTGTAACTTTGTTACTTTCTTTAAAGGGAACCACTACATGGTTAGCTGAATCCCATTGTTGAAAACCTAGGAACTCAAGGAACAGGTAAATAGGCACCTACCTCCATCAGATGCTGCCATACAAAACCGGTAAGTTAAAAAAAAGCGGAAGCAAAGAGGTTGGAGGAAAAAAAAGCTAAAAAGCTTAAGACATGTTACAGAATCTTGTAGGTCGCGATTAAGATAGAAAATCTACAGAGATTAGTCACTGAATTATGACCACAAAAACACCAGAAATCTCACATACAGTGAGAGGTTGAAAAAACCTAACACAGCAGCTCATTTTCTTTCATTTGAACTGTCAAACAAGGAAACTGCTCAGACCCATATCTTCTTTCTCCTACTCTCCAAAGAGAGAAGAATGATTGATCATCAAAGACAGTCAGCAGTGTCACTGAAGCAACACCAACAGTCAGTTTCACACTCAGAAGAAAACGGTACACCTCTTCCTCATGAGTTCCAGTGCTTTACATGTTCAGAAAAACTTCCCTAGTGATAAACTATAGAAATAATCCCTGAAAGTATAGTCTTGTTCTGTTGTTTACAGCCTCTGCTGGCTTTACATCTGCAGCATACTTTTCGCTAATGGCAAGATAGTTTCGCTACTTCTGATCCCATTAGGAAATCAATAGGAAAATCGATTGCCAATAACATGTTTTTGAATACTATCAATTACTTAACAACACATTTTAACATTTAAAGTGAAAATGAAATTTTAAAAAATTGTTTCAATTAAAAAAGTTGAAAACCAAGCATGAAGCATAGTGCTGAATGACAGCCAATCACAACCTGAATTTTTAAAGTGGGAAGTGTTTGCTCCTGTTGTGGTTCCGCCGCCTGTAATCTGGTAATCCCAGCGTTTTGAGAGTCCATACCGAGGCCCAGGTGGGAGGATCCTTTGTTCTATGAGTTCAAGACTAGCCTAGGCAATATAGCGCAATCCTGCCTCTACCAAGGGGGGAAAAATAAAAAATGAGCTGGGCATGGTGGCACCGCTCATAGTCCTAGCTACTTGGGAGGCTGAAGCAGGATGATTGCTTGATCCAGGAAAGCTGGCTGAGTTCAACGATGTAGTGAGCTTTGATCACCCCACTGCACCCCATCTCCCGGATTCAAGCGATTCTCCTGCCTCAGTCTTTCAAGTAGCTGGGATTACAGGCATGCACCATTATGCCTGGCTAATCTTTTTTTTTTTTTTTTTTTTTTTGAGATGGAGTCTTGCTCTGTTGCCCAGGCTGGAGTGCAGTGGCACGATCTAGGCTCACTGCAATCTCCACCTCCTGGGTTCAAGCAATTCTCCTTTGTCAGCCTCCTGAGTAGCCTGGATTACAGGCGCCCACCACCATGTCCAGCTACTTTTTGTATTTTTAGTACAGACGGAGTTTTGCATGTTGGTCAGGTTGGTTTCAAATTCCTGACCTCGTGATCTGCCAGCCTCAGTCTCCCAAACTGTTAGGATTACAGGCGTAAGCCACTGCACCCGACCTGCCCGGCTAATTTTTGTATTTTTAGTAGAGAAGAGTTTTCCCTGTATTGTCCAGGCTGGTCTCAAGCTTCTGGCCTCAAGTGATCCACCTGCCTTAGCCTCCCGAAGTGCTGGGATTACAGGCGTGAGCCACTGCCCCTGGCCAAGGGTCCAAGCTTTCGAAGAAGCTGCTGCTGTGCTTCCTGTTCCGTATGCTTCTAAGAATATTAATGCTCGATTGTTTATTGTGAGTTGTCAGGCCTCTCTTTTTTTCCCAATCCAATCTATGACTGCCAGATACATTTCATTTTTTCAAAGTTAACGTCTACTTACCCTTTCTTTTATTTCTTTGTATTTTATTATTATTTTAATTAATTAATTAATTAATTTGAGACAGAATCTCACCCTGTCGCCCAGGCTGGAGTGCAGTGGCACAATCTTGGCTCACTGCAATCTCTGCCTCCCAGGTTAAAGCCATTCTTGTGCCTCAGCCTCCCGAGTAGCTGGGATTACAGGCGTGCACCGCCACATTCAGCTAATTTTTGTGTTTTAGTAAAGACAGGATTTCTCCAGCCTGATCTCAAACTCCTAGCCTCAAGTGATCCGCCTGCCTCGACCTCCTAAAGTGCTGGGATTACAGGCATAAGCCACTGTGCCTGGCAGAAATTTTGCTTTTTGACATGATTTTAGAATGTGAGGCAGATGATGTTCATCACATACAAACAAACAGGCTGCCCAAGAGAGAGTCCGTGATTCCACTTTACCCGTGGACATTCCACACTGCCTCGAGGAGTGAGGATGTAGGTCAGAACTGCTACATGCCAGCTCCTTAATCTTGGATTTGCCATCCTCCAGAACCATGAGCTAATAAATTTCTGATCATTATAAGCTGCCCAGTCTGTGGAATTCTGTTATAGCACAAAATGGACTAACGCTCTGTTATCCAGGATGATCTCGAGCTCCTGACCTTGTCATCTGCCCACGTCATCTGCCCATCTCAGCCTCCCAAAGTGTTGGGCTTACAGGCGTGAGCCATCATGCCCAGCTTATAACATTATACTCGATTTCTTCATTGTTAAATCAAATGCTTATAAAATTTGTAGGACAGTGGAAAACTTGGGTCTTAAATTTTCTCACATTGCCAGAATTCCCCATGAAGCAAGATGAAAGGATTGCATGAAACCATAGTCAATCATAAAAAGTTGAGTGAATCATTTGTAGCCAAATCATTTCAGAATCAAAATCATAAAAATCCTTTCAAATTTAATTTTACAGCAGAGTTCTATTTTCTGCACTCTGTGAGTGTGTTTTATATATTTGATAGGAGCTGTGGAATGAGCATCTGGTGGCAAGGCTGGAAGGAAGGTTGCACGCTGTCTGGGCCTTTGTGGGACATGGTTGGGTCTCCTCCCTGTCTGTGATGGAGATGGCTAGTAGCTCCCTGACATCTACTCTCTCCTCTATCCTTGAAACAGGGCTCCTGCAGCTGGGCGTGGTGGCTAACGTCTGTAATCCGTGTAGCACTTTGGGAGGCTGAGGCAGGAGGATTGCTTTGAGTCCAGGAGTTTGAGGCCAGCCTGGGCAATAGAGCAAGCCTTCATCTCAACAAAAAATAGAAGAATTAGCTATGCCTGTGGTTCCAGCTACTCTGGAGGCTGAGGCGGGAGGATTGCCTGAGCCCAGGAGGTTGAGACTGCAGTGAGCTGTGATTGTGTCACTTCCACTCCAGCCTAGACAACAGAGCAAGACCCTGTCTCAAAAAAAATGAAAAAGAAAACAGAGCTTCTAGACAGTTGTTCTCAAAGTGTGATCCTTGGACGACAGCAGTAGCCCTGGAAACTTGACAGAAATACAAGTTCTCAGGTTCCACTCCAGCTCTGCTGAGTCAGTGGCCCAGCACTCAAAGTTTTAGTAATCTCTCCAGCTGATTATGATACTTGCTCGTGTTTAAAACCAACTACCCATACTCTCTGAGGGCAGCAAAAGAATTCATTTCCCAGCCTGTCCTGCAGCTAGGTGTGGCCACTGGACCAAATTTTAACAAGCAAGATGTAAGTAGATGTGCTGGGACTTCCAGGAAGGTGCCTTAAAGTGAAGAAGCCCTTTAGCAGGGCGTGGTGCCTCACGCCTGTAATCCTAGGACTTTTGGAGGTCAAGGTGGGTATACTGCTTGAGCTCAGGAGTTTGAGACCAGCCTGGGCAACACGGTGAAACCCTGTCTCTACCAAAAAACGTGAGAATTAGCTGGGTGTGGTGGTGTGTGCCTGTAGTCTCAGCTACTTGGAAGGCTGAGGTGGGAGGATGGCTTGAGCCAGGGAGATGGAAGTCGCAGTGAGCTGAGATCACGCCACTGCACTCCAGCCTGGGTGACAGAGCCAGATCCTGTCTCAAAACTAAAAATAGGCCTGGAGTGGTGACTTATGCCTATAATACTAGCACTTTTGGGAGGCTGAGGTGGGCGGATCCTCGGTCAAGAGATTGGGACCATTCTGGGCAACATGGTGAAACCCCATCTCTAGTAAAATTATAAAAATTAGCTGGGCATGGTGGCGTGTGTCTGGAATCCCAGCTACTCAGGAGACTGAGGCAGGAGACTGAACCCGGGAGATGGAAGTTTCAGTGAGCCGAGATTGTGCCACTGCACTTCAGCCTAGTGACAGAGCGAGATTCCATCTCAAAAATAAATAAATATGAATAAAAATAAGATAAGCCCTCCTTTGGCCTTGTCCTCCAGCTGCTGGGCTGGAATACAAATATGTATTGACTGGAGCTTAGGCAGCTGTTTTGAATCACGAGGAGGAAGCCTAATCTTGAGGGCTGATGGACTGGAAAACTAGTAAGATCCCAAGTTCCTGAGACTTCGTGGTATTGCCATAAATGAGAAAGCAATAACTTTTTTTTTTTTTTTTTAAGACAGTCTCACTCTGGAGTGCAGTGGCACAATATTGGCACACTGTCATCTCCATCTCCCTGGTTCAAGCGATTCTCCCACCTGGGACTCCTGAGTAGCTGGGATTACAGGCACCTACCACCATACCTGACAAATTTTTGTATTTTTATTTTTATTTATTCATTTTTTTTTTTAGACAGAGTCTCGCTCTGTCACCCAGGCTGGACTGTAGTGGCACAATCTCGGCTCACTGCCACCTCCATCTCCCTGGTTCAAGTGATTCTCCCACCTCAGACTCCTGAGTAGCTGGGATTATAGGCACCTGCCACCATGCCTGACAAATTTTTTTATTTTTATTTTTGGAGACAATGTTTTACTCTTGTGAGGTGCCCAGGCTGGAGTACAGTGACACAATCTCAGCTCACTGCAACCTCCTCCTCCTGGGTTCATGCTATTCTCCTGCCTCTGCCTCCCAAGTAGCTGGGATTACAGGTGCACACCACCATGTCTGTCTAATTTTTTGTATTTTTAGTAGAGATGGGGTTTCATTATGTTGGCCAGACTGGTCTTGAACTCCTGACCTCGTGATCTGCCTGCCTTGGCCTCCCAAAGTGCTGTGATTACAGGTGTGGGCCACTGCGCCTGGCCAGTTTTTCATATTTTTAGTAGACACGGGGTTTCACCATGTTGGCCAGGCTGGTCTTGAACTCCTGAACTCAGGTGATCCACCCACATCAGCCTCCCAAAGTGTTGGGATTACAGGCGTGAGCCACCATGCTCGGTCTGAATTTTTGTATTTTCAGTAGTGACGGGGTTTTGCCATTTGGCTGGGTTGGTCTCGAACTCCTGACCTCAAGTGATCCACCTGCCTTGGCCTTTCAAAGTGCTGGGATTACAGGCATAAGCTACTAGGCCCTGCTTTTAAGTAAGTGTTATTTTGTTTTCTGTTATATGTGGCCATCTCTTGACACATGATCTGGGTCCCCCTCTTGAATTCAAAGGTGGAATCAACAGGCCCCCGATCTAACTGTTCTGAGCCCTGGAGCCTGGGTCCAGACCTGCCTCCTCGGCCTCCTCCTGGATGGTGGGCTGTGAGGGCAGTTACTGCATTGTCCATCCCTGTCGCCAGCTCTGAGTCCCTTACCGTCCAGCCTCTTCTCTGCTGACACCAACTGT